AGAGGATGTAGGACTCGGGAGCTATAATAGGTTTGGTAACCAGGCTAACCACGAACACCATGATATAAAAGTACCGCAAATATAAAGTGATTTATAGACTGAGTATCTTTCCTGAAAAACATCAGAGAAACAACAAATTAAGACATCGTGGCCTCAAAAAGACTTCTGTTTTGACACACTACACTGTACATAGTACCAGTATGGCCAGCTTACCTGATCCTCTGAGCTCTTCTCTGTGCACCGGCCAGTGGTGAGAGGTTGATGTAAGCTGAGCCAACAAGTCGGTCCCTGTTCCGCGGCCTCCGTGCCTCCTTACCAGAAGAAAAGGCCACCCACACTTGCACCTCAAGCCTCTCTTCACGAAAATACCTGCAGGCAGTACAGTGTGCTGAGCTTTCAAGTTCTGAAGAGTGTGACTCATTTGCCAAAATAAACATTATTGGGGGCCCGCAAGCCCTTTTCCGTAGAGCGTAATCGGCCGTTTTAATTCTACGTAGAGCGTAGACGGACCGTTGTAATATTTTGCGTACAGCGTATTCTACGTAATGCGTTGTAGCCACTTGGAATTTATCGAAAAGCGTAATCGAGAGGTTTCCGACTTCAGCGTAGAGCGTTGTCGGGACTCCCCCCCCCTTGCAGGCCCTCATTATTTTTTAGCAGTTCAGTGTTAAAGACAGTATTGTCACTGGCTTTATATATTAGATTAGGGAGCCTATGATATTAAAGAATACCAAAATACATGTATCATGAAAGTTCATCTGTGTTGGTAGTAATCATAATAAAATATTGAACTTTATTCCAACACAGAGATCAAATATTCAACGAACACTGTCATGATCACCAGACATTTTCTTCTTTTCCTTTGGCATTGATTTTGGCATTCTACGACTGTCACTCATTGGTACTATCATTTTCCAATATTTTTTTGCAACTTATGGTATTTGCTCATTTTGCAGCTGCTTAGAGTCCATTCCGCGTCACCGAGTGGGTTGTTATTGTCATTATTTAGAAATGTTTTGAATTCTTTGTAATTGTTTGTCTAAGAAATTTCATAATTTGGAAATATTTTGAACATCTTGTCAATATTCTAAATAATTCCATGGTTTTCTAAAACGTTTGAAATATTCCTGATGTGGAATATGACATTTCCAATAGTTTCTAAATATTTCTAACAGCACTCTACCATTTTTTACCATTATTTCGAATTATTTCTAACATTTTGTAAATAGGTCAGTGGGATGGGAAGGAAGTAATTCACACATCCCTGTGAAGTACAGGGTAGACTGCCTGGGTGTCAGGCATTGATGCCTTACAACAAAAGAGCCACCAGTGTCCAGCAGTGAAATCTAAAAATATACAGAAGAATACAGAAGAGTAGGATTAGCACCTACTTTTATGGGGGCAATTACCCACATCTAACATTTTTCATTTGTTTGAAATAGTTCTAAATATTTCGAATAGTGAAAGAAACAAATGGGTAGTTCAAATTTATTCTAAATAAAGAGATCTTTGTACAGTCACTTTCAAAATGTTTCAGAAATATATAAATGAATTCAAATATATTCAAATTTTCATTTTCAAAGTTTTGAAAAATTTAGAACTTTTGTTACTAGGGTATTCTTTTCTTCTAAATAATTCAAACGTATTAGAAACATGGAGAAAAAACCCACTCGGTGACGCGGAATCGACTCTAATACAATTTACAGTATGGTCAAAAACTTTTTTTGGAAATGGACAAAAATTCATGCATGCATGGATGTCATCCATAATAATCAAATCAACATGGCCTAAAAAAGAGTGAAGACTTGGGCGTACTCACCAATGTAGTGGCTGTGTGAGCTGACACACCATCCTCCTGCTGTACCTTGTCTGACAGCTCAGGTAGTCAGCTGCTGTCAACTCCAGCTCATGTGACTTGGAACAGCATGGTGCTGTGAAGATACAAAGTATACACTTTTTATTTTATCTATTTATGAAGATTTACCACATTTGTGGAATGATTGACATAACAGGTGACTATCACCTCTTCAAGATGTCAAACCTGAGACCAGACTGTAAGGTTTGAACCACTCACACTGGGAAGGACCCCTGCTCTTTTCGATAAGTGCGGTGGGATCTTTAACGTGCTCAAGGTGTGACTGTCCTTTTAAAAACCTCCTATCTGAGAGGACATAGTACCTAACCGAAGCTAGGTACTCATTTATACCTGAGTCAAATGAAGAAATGGGTGTAAAGTGCCTTTCAAAGATATTATTTTTCTGAGAATTGGCATGAATGTGCTGTATACTAGTTAGTATTTACATTAATTTTGATACCTTTACATACAAATGTGATAATACATAAATCTATGAGAACACTTCACCATGCTGTACACCCATGACCCTGACTTGGGTTAAGGGATCAAGGTACAAGGTACTAGCATGATATAAGCCTTGTAACTCATGTTGTTGTTCAATATGTGCATATACAAAATTAATGTACATAGAATACGTGAAGTATGCTTCCCAGTATCTGTGTGTATTTCTGTCATATTTTCAATTGAAGTTACAATCTAGATTTAAAATTCAATTCGATTTTACTGTATGTTAAGGGTGATCATCATCATCATGACTAACTTTCGATTCAAACAACTAACGCAACAGGAATTTCTTCCCCGAATGTCTAAATATCAACAAATTCAACAGGAATTTCTTCTTCGAATGTCTAATTATCAACAAACCCACGTGTACATGCCTTCAATGCTGGGGCGAAAGTTTGTCTATGATAACATGGTGCTTTGAAGTTCGCCCCTCGGTCATGCCTACCGGGAATTACAGAGATGTGACTGTACCCCTGTGAAGGCTTTATGGGGATCTGTAAGGTGTTTGTTTGCCTTTGTTATCAGCACAAAGCTGCTTCCTGGCAATGTCACTGACCTTGACCAAGAAGGTTAAATTTTTAACCTCCTTGCCTTGACGTATAATCTCTAATTGGGGTGTGTGCGGAGAGTGGGCGTAGTCAGGGAGTGATCTGATTCACCTGAAATCTTGCTTTGGGGGAAATCTTAAAATATATATATCTTCAGGAAAGGATTACTGGTACTTCCTACTTCTATTGAAAACAGGGTAGTATCGAGACCCTCTGAAACGCTATATCCTGAATTTTGAGGAGCAATTTTTGCCTGTAGACAAAGCTCGTTTGGTGAAAAATTAAAGTTTCAGCTTGATTTTGAGGTAAGCATTATGGACCTTGGCAAAGAAAAGAAACAATTTTGTAACAGTAAACACAAATGCAGAGAGTGGGCGTAGTCAGGGGGGTGTTCTGATTCACCTGAAATCTTGCTTTGGGGTAAATCTTAAAATATATATCTTCTGAAAAGGATTACTGGTACTTCCTAATGGGGTTATAACTTCCATTGAAAGCAGGGTACTATCTAGACCCTCTGAAACGCTATATCCTGAATTTTGAGGGGTAATTTTTGCGTGTAGACAATGCTCGTTTGGTGAAAAATTAAAGTTTCAGCTTGATTTTGAGGTAAGCATGGACCTGGACGGATCGGCAAAGAAAAGAAACAATGACCTATACCATTATTACGTCACAGTTTGTTTACTGCAATGAATGCCGGTCAATCAACGTTTATATTGTACAGGGGTGCGTAGCGCGGTGTGTGTTTGTGTAGCGTTAGCCTAATATAAGGCTTTTAATACAGTACTACTTTCGTCTAATGTCACAGCTAAATCACCCATGCGGCATGTAATGCTGTGTCAACACAACTAGAGGTAGCAAAAATCAAACATACCTGACTTTGAAAACTTTGAAATGATCTTTATTCTTTAACTGAACGTTCTAGAATGTTCTTTAGAACAGGTAAACAAACTGTGACGTAATAATGGTATAGGTCCATTTTGTAACACAAATGCAGAGAGTGGGCGTAGTCAGGGAGTGTTCTGATTCACCTCAAATCTTGTTTTTTTTTGGGGGGGGGGGGTAAATCTTAAAACATCTTCAGGAAAGGATTACTGGCACTTCCTAAAGGGGTTATATAATATAACTTCCATTGAGAGCAGGGTACTATCATTAGGACAGGTGGTACTGTAATTTCATGATTTTTTTTGTAGTATTTACTTTTGTACAGTGAACTTATCATTACCGGGAACAGATAATTCCCCAACTTATTTTTGCTGCACCTGCCGCCACCGCGAACGTATAGTTCTGTAACATGTCAATTTTTTTTCAGACCGCAAACTTTTGCTCCTGCAATTAACAAGTCTGTACACTTTGGAATCCTTATCATAATGATCATTATCTGTGGCACTTCGACGGGCTTATCAACCACCCCTTTACGGGGGCGACAATACCCCTCCTACAAGATAGGGTGTGCCATATATACACCGTCACGTATCTCTTGACAGGTGATATGACTTCAGGTGATATGACTTATCGGTACCATATATGGAATGTACACCTCATGACACGAGATTATCGAGACTATCGATTTGGTCGGCCGACACAAAGTCCTGCTGGTGAATCACCACATAGTGAATCACCAACTCCAGACACTTGACGTAGGATTTGGACCATCACACACCGGGACACGCCTCTACTGTTTTTTTTTCAAAAGGTGTGAAGGCTAAACTCAAAAACAACATTTCCTTTGATGCTTCAAAGAGTGTAAAAAGTTACATGATGGTAACAATTACTTTAGACTTTTTTTCAGTCCTAAGCTGAGGCCTACCACAGCTGACCATATGATTGACCTCTTAGTGTCTGGAGCTTGTTTTTTTTGACCCAATGCAGGTTAGGTGCAGGTAGACATCAGAAATACCGGCACAGCTCCAATTTTACCTGCACTAACCTCCATATACCCAGTACATGGAGCAGTGCAGGTTAGGTGTAGGTAGACATCAGAAACACCGGCACAGCTCCAATTTTAGCTGCACTAACCTGCATATACCCAGTACATGGACCAGTGCAGGTTAGGTGCAGGTAGACATCAGAAATACCTGCACAGCTCCAATTTTACCTGCACTAACCTGCATATACCCAGTACATGGACCAGTGCAGGTTAGGTGCAGGTAGACACCAGAAATACCTGCTCAGCTCCAATTTTACCTGCACTAACCTGCACATGCAGGTGGTACCCCCTGTTTTTAGAATGAAACGGTCTGTTCATGACGTCTCTTTGTGACTCTGTTCGTCATGCATTCTATTCAAGTACCGGCTCAAAATAGCCTACGAGTTCTACGAAAGATGGGTCGTGAGCCATGTGACATTACGTACACAGTAGTCGCTGACGTCAATCGTAGTAGAGTACAATAGTACAGTGTGCTGATTGAGATGTCAACTACTTGTATTTACTACTTGCATTTTTCAGAGAAAAAAACAAACTATCCTCCTTTTTCTGTTTGTCATACGTTCAAGTACCAGCTCAAAATAGTCAAGGAGTTCTACGAAAGACGGGTCGTGAGGTATTTGATATTACATACTCGTTTGTGCAGTTTACATAGGAGTTACTGATGTCAATCGTAGTAGAGGACAACAATTGTAGTACATTGTGCTGATTGGGCTGTAAACTTAAATATACTACTTGTAGTTCCTGGCTTTTCTTATTTCCTGGCTTTGCTTATTCAGAGAAAAAAAACTATCCCACTTTTTCTGTTCGTCGTACATTCAATTACCTGCTCAAAATAGTCTACAGGTTCTACGAATCAAAAGACAAGTCGTGAGCTATTCGACATTACCAAGGAGGTTTTTAACCTTCTCAACATGTACAAACTCGTTTGTGTAGTTTACACAGGAGTTACTGACGTCAATTGTAGTAGAGGACAACAATTGTAGTACAGTGTGCTGATTGGGCTGTTAACTTAATATATATACTACTTGTATTTCCTGGCTTTGCTTATTCAGAGAAAAAAAACAACTATCCTCCTTTTTCTGTTCATCGTGAATTCAAGTACCAGCTCAAAATAGTCTACAGGTTCTACGAATCGAAAGACAAGTCGTGAGGTATTTGTACACTGTACTAGCTGACGTCAATTGTAGTAGAGTGTGCTGATTGGGATGTCAACTTTGATTCTGTACTACATTTTATTTCCTGGTTGTATTCAGAGAAAAAAAAACAGAGATGACCCACAGACAGTAAAATATTTTCTATACAGGAGGGCTTGTCTTCTTGTTATTTAGTTTGGTTATGTTTGTAAATATTAATGATATTTTGTACAATTGTGTGTTCCCTAAAACTACATAATTCAGCCTTTTTTACATTGTATTATTTAGGTCGTTTTAGTTTTATGTCAATTTGCAAATAAACCATAATTTCATACATTCAACTGACTGACAGAAAACTGAAAATGAAGAGTGCATTAAAGAAGGACAACATATTCTGCACACTTTTTTTGCTCGGTTTGACATAAGATTTTAGAGTACTGGTAAGGCTATTTTCTGAAGATTTGGGTTGGGATTGTGTATAAGTTGAAGACACCTCTAAATTGTACAGTAACAAACGGGTAATAATAGATTATCAAGATAAGATAGAATACTTTTAAATACCAAACAGTAAAGGTAACTATAGACAAACACTGAAACAGTAAAATAATCCCCTTGGCAAACCTCTACTTGAAATAGATGCAAACATTGCAAGCAACATGTCACACACTAATCACCTGGACAAATAGGCTTTTTGACAGTTTATAAATTATAGAGCATGAAATCTTTGGTCAAATTGAAAGGTCAAACCTAACAAAAGATACATTGTACACACACAAATGTTCCACATGACTTGATCTCCTAACCGTGGGGCTGTTTGCTAATGCAGTATGGCAGCCACAATTCTGGTATGTGCAAAAAAAATAGCCTTATTAGGAGCTTGAGATAATTTCACACAAGCTCCTAACAAAAGGTTTTATCCACGTTCAAGACTTCAAAGTTGCATACTTAAGTCCTAAAAGAAGCCTACTAGTAGAAGAAATCAATTTTTTTCAAAAGCAAGAAGTACTCTTTGTAAAAGAATTTTTGTTTACGATTAAAGCAACAAAAAAGACAAGTAACTTTAAACGCTTCCGGACTAATTTTTTTATCAAACACACAGTGGTCCACACACTTCCTGGTAGGAAGTGTGTTTATTTGGTGATACAAAACGTCTATGCCTAAATATTTTTACCAGTCTATTACCCCTGATATTTTCTACACCTATGACCAAGGATTTGGTCTGCTAGAAATTCGAAGAATAGTTAGTAATAACGTTGACTGTGACGAAACAGTACTATACACACCTTGACAATATGGTCTGTCAAATATCCTCATTGACAAATATTTTAACCAGTCTACCTGACATTTTCTACACCTATGACCAAGGATTTGGTCTGCTAGAAATTTGAAGAATATTTAGTAATATTGTTGACTGTGACTAAACAGTACTGTACACATGCATCTAAACAATACGGTCTGTCAAATATCCTCCAATTTTTTACCAGTCTACCCAATATTTTCTACACCTATGACCAAGGATTTGGTCTGCTAGAAATTCGAAGAATTATAGTTAGTAATCATCGTTGACTGTGACTAAACAATACTGTACACATCTAAACAATACGGTCTGTCAAATATCCTCCAATATTTTTACCAGTCTACCCAATATTTTCTACACCTATGACCAAGGATTTGGTCTGCTAGAAATTAAAAGAATAGTTAGTAATATCGTTGACTGTGACTAAACAAAACTGTACACATCTAAACAATATGGTCTGTCAAATATCCTCAAATATTTTTACCAGTCTACCCGATATTTTCTACACCTATGACCAAGGATTTGGTCTGCTAGAAATTCGAAGAATTATAGTTAGTAATCATCGTTGACTGTGACTAAACAATACTGTACACATCTAAACAATACGGTCTGTCAAATATCCTCCAATATTTTTACCAGTCTACCCAATATTTTCTACACCTATGACCAAGGATTTGGTCTGCTAGAAATTCGAAGAATAGTTCGTAATATTGTTGACTGTGAGTAAACAATACTGTACACAGCTAAACAATATGGTCTGTCAAATATCCTCAAATATTTTAACCAGTCTACCCGATATTTTCTACACCTATGACCAAGGATTTGGTCTGCTAGAAATTCGAAGAATAGTTCGTAATATTGTTGACTGTGAGTAAACAATACTGTACACAGCTAAACAATATAGTCTGTCAAATATCCTCAAATATTTTAACCAGTCTACCCAATATTTTCTACACCTATGACCAAGGATTTGGTCTGCTAGAAATTCGAAGAATTATAGTAATCATCGTTGACTGTGACTAAACAAAACTGTACACATCTAAACAATACGGTCTGTCAAATATCCTCCAATATTTTTACCAGTCTACCCAATATTTTCTACACCTATGACCAAGGATTTGGTCTGCTAGAAATTCGAAGAATAGTTAGTAATATTGTTGACTGTGAGTAAACAATACTGTACACAGCTAAACAATATGGTCTGTCAAATATCCTCAAATATTTTAACCAGTCTACCTGACATTTTCTACACCGATGACCAAGGATTTGGTCTGCTAGAAATTCGAAGAATTATAGTAATCATCGTTGACTGTGACTAAACAAAACTGTACACATCTAAACAATATGGTCTGTCAAATATCCTCAAATATTTTAACCAGTCTACCCGATATTTTCTACACCTATGACCAAGGATTTGGTCTGCTAGAAATTCAAAGAATAGTTAGTAATATCGTTGACTGTGACTAAACAGTACTGTACACAGCTAAACAATATGGTCTGTCAAATATCCTCAAATATTTTTACCAGTCTACCCAATATTTTCTACACGTATGACAAAGGACTTGGTCTGCTAGAAATTCAAATAATAGTTAGTAATATCGTTGACTGTGACTAAGCAGTACTGTACACATGCATCTAAACAATACGGTCTGTCAAATATCCTCCAATATTTTTACCAGTCTACCCAATATTTTCTACACCTATGACCAAGGATTTGGTCTGCTAGAAATTCGAAGAATAGTTAGTAATATTGTTCACTGTGACTAAACAGTACTGTACAAGCATTGACAATGGACTGTTCAATATCCTCAAATACTGTATTTTTACCAGTCTACCCTATATTTTCAGGCTGTTGCAATAAAAAGAAATAGTCAGTCTTGTCATCTCTCAAACAAGACCTTTATTGTCTCAGCTGTTAATATTTTACTCTATATTTTTATCGCATTACTGGAAATGTTTGTTTGGCACAGGAAATAATGGTAATAAAGGATGACTTCTGACATTTGTGTAGATAAAGAACAGAAACTAACTGATCGACAAACAGTATGTTTTTCTCCTTTTTTACATTTTACTGTGTTTGTACTTTAAGAAAAATAAACACCAGACTCAGAAACGTAAAAAACAAGTTGTCACAGTGATAACATTTGACTCATTATGACATAAGAAATTGGGACAAGCAAAAAGCACCCCACATTTTAAACAATAAATACATTAACAAACAGACATAAAACACCTCATAAGTTATAAATGCATACAAATCTTGAATGTGATTTAATTCAATCCTAACTTTATAGTTCACCATTCTTTTATGATAGCAAGATATGATGATAATGATGATTCTTTATTTATAATATGATAGCAAGGAAGAAAACACTTCCTACTAACAGAACAAAATTCTGGTCAAAAGATTTATAAAAATATGCAGATTGACGACATTTTGGGGGCAAGAAAAATTCAGTTACCCTCTATGAAAGTCAAAATGTTCTAAGGCAATTAACGTCTGATGTATCCATATTCAGTATTATTGGCACATCTATTCTTTCAATATTGTAAAAAGATACAAAAGGAATCCTTGTATTTATAAAGAATGAAAGAAAAAGGTTTTTAAAAGCTATACACTGTACAAACTACTTTTCATTCCAAATCCCTGCACTTGACCATCATGAGTATACATGTACATGTACAAAACTTCCGACAATCAACGCACATAACAAGTATTCCACTTGACGCTCTGTGTACAGAGTGGGCGTGTCGTGAAAGAGGGCGGCCCGGTAGTACTGAAAAGCCAGGAAGTGAGGTGTTGGGGATCAACAAGAGATCTCGACAGCTTTGCCAACACACAGGAAGAGATGACGACAAGCATTCCTGGAATATTTCCCCCGGAGAGGCGTGGCACCACAGGTGGGTTTCCCCGGCAAGAATCTTCCAGGAACAAAGACGCGGACATCAGAGAAAAAAAGCGTTGACACTCACCTACTGACGTGAGCGCCTCATTTACATATTCCTAGTATTTTCCCCAAGTTTCCCACCTACAGATATAACAGGATATTACACCTGCATGACTTACATGTTAAAAAAACACCATGGTGCCTATAAATATGAGCCTCCTGAGGTCTACATCACAGCGAAGACAACTTTCTTCTCCCTCGACACAAGCCTTCCAGCGACTGAGACCCTACGATGGCAAAGATGATGGTGTGTGTGTTGGCAGTTTTCTGTGGCCTCCTGTATTCTACAACAGCAGTTCCAGTCACAACTGTGGCTCCTGGTACAACAGTAACCCAAGCTCTAGAAGCCAGCCTTCAGAAGACAGCACACGTTTTGGCCCTCACAATTGAAGCCTATGGAAGCATTGTAAGTACCAAATTTTTTTTTCTCTCCAATTTTAACGTCATTTTCCCCCCGAAACGGGGGTTAGACGTGCTTGCATCAAATGCAAGTCTTTTTTGAAGCAAGATTTTTTATGGCTGGATGCCCTTCCTATGACGCCAACCTAAACCCTAGTAGGGCCCAGGATCCCTCTAACTGAGGGGGGAAATACGTGTAAAGTGCCATTCCCAATTGGAGCAAGGCAACACTTGCCTGTCACGTAATTCAACTATTGAATATTGTGATGTGAACACAGTGCCATAAAGGTATATTCCCTGACCAGTGGGGTATGATAGATTTTTCAGTCGGCATATGTTTGATTCAAATAGTGAAATAGTTTAAAAACCAGCTAAATGAGGACCCCTTTATTTTTTGGTACCACCAATAAATTATAGCTATAATCTGAGCCTATGGTACAAAACAGGCAACTGTTTTCCGTCAGTAACATTACGTTTTTTCCTCACCAGAAATATCAGTATGCTATAGAATAGGGTCCATTCAACTGACTACATAAAAAAATGACCAACAAATTGACTTAGAAAATCCGGTTTTACAGAATCAGTACTGCTCTGGAATGCAATTTGCTAGTGTGATAAAATCCCTTCCAACATGAATTGGTCTGGAACAAATTTTCTAGTACAGATGTCCACCAGCATGGAGAATGACTTTATTGCTGAAAAAATGTACCAGTACATGAACTGTACAATGTTGTACCTTCTGTGTTTTACAGAACACTGTCCACTTCAGTGGAACAGCCAGCTACCCAGATGAGACCGTTCGTACTCTCCCAGACCCAGACGACTTCATAACAGCCACCGACATTGAAACAAGTGCAATGCAGGTAAGGGAACATTGTCTTCTGATAAAGATTACTGTTAAAGATTTTGTCAAGATGCTGTCTCTGAGAACAAGTATAATTTTTGCATTTAGCAGAGCTGTCTATCTAGTACGTATATTTCTTTTCTCATTGGATTTCAAAGATTCTGGACAGATCCTTGCCTTATATTATATTCAGAGAAATTCCCCAATCCAGAAACCATGACTGGACAAGGTACAAAAATACAACCACCGGTGTGTTATATGGTTTCTGACCACATTAAACACAATACGGTGGCACATAAACCAGACTGAATGCTGACATAAAAGGTACCTAAATAGCTCTGTCCACCACAACAGAGATTTGCTCAGTAAACAAAAGCAGTTGCGCCGGCTATAATTGAGTTACTGCATTGAAAAGGAGAACACATTCGTAAGACAGAAACCAAGAAGTACAACACTTACATTAGTTGTAGACACAGAACCAATATAAAGATATAGCCAGATGATTCATGGCTCTTTCAGGGCTCTCACCAGAATTTTTTAACAGTTACAAAAGGACAAGGCAAATTGCTGCACATTGAGTCCCAAAAATATGACCCATCGTAGGGGGCCTGGTTCCGGGGAAAAATCTTGAACTTATTACCCCCATTAAGCTTACAAAGGAGAAGTCAAACCCTTCAGACATAGTTTTAGACATAGCTATAACTTTAGACTATTACCTTTTATTATGTAGATTTTGAAGTTATTTTGTACTCTGTGTAAATGTTCTTCATCCTTTGTTCTCTGGAATTAGCCTTCAGGCATGAATTTGCAATAAACTTAATATCATTAAAATTTTGCAAATCTATCTTGTTCCTTGCTGCAGGATTCGGAGGTTCTGACGACCCTGAAGGCTCATCTGCACGCCTTTGAGAGACACCTGGAGACAGTCGAGCTGGAAGAGCTGACACTCGCACAAGATGACACCACTGGACAGGTGCAAGGTGTGTACGAACAGGTCGCCAACGTCCACACCAAGACAACAGAGCTCCAGACTTCACTGGCTACTACGGTAAATAACTTCTTCTTTCTAAAATAAACTACCAGTAAGCATAATCCATAACACAATGAAGCCCTAACTTCTTTTAACAGGTCTTTGTTGAAAAGTATAAGACCACTGGCTTAGACATTGTTTACAAAATTCTAGTGACTTAGTCTAAGCACAGTGGACAAGTGGACGTATGCAAATGTGAACTTTGCTCGTCATAAACAAAGCAGTGCAAACAGTTATATAATGGTAACCAATAACATAACCCCTTCCGACCTCTAAGTCTACAAAACATGTAATACAACACGGAAGTGACGTCAACTTAGTGATTACAACCTGGGTACATGTACTTGTAACCTGCAGTACCCCATGGAGCTATTTATGTTTACCTTCACAGAAGGAAAACATAATTATAATTGTTTTTGCTCTGTTTCTTCTTCCTTTTCGTCTCCAAACGAATAAGGTCAATGACCTGAACCAGACGTCTGTCACCATGGTAACTAGTGTTGAGTTAAATCATGTTGTAATATATCAAATAATATGAATGCGTTTGAGTAAGAATTAACAGAGCAGACCTTATGCGAAGGTGAACATTATGCATTTTCTTGGCAAATGTTATCTCTCTATTTTCAATTAAGTTATTTTGAAACTACATCTGTGTTTATTCATACTGAAATTATTCTTGCACTGAAGTCTCTAAAGTTTCTTTCCTTGGCAAAATCATGAAGTGGTACATGTAAATGATCTCCCTATTTTTTCTGTCGCGAGATTCTATGATGGGATGTGATAAAAATATTGAAGAATTGACTCTCCAGAGGAAATGATGCCTACAGTACATAGCAGCTGTACTAAATCCTTGGTTGTTTGCTGAATTTCAGGCCAACGTTATGGGTCACACCTTTGACAACACCAATGAAGAGGTCAACCCTAACCCAAACCTTGACGAATGGTCCAAGACCCTGCACGCGTACCTGACCTTTCGTGACTACGTAACGTTCCTTAGCAACCTGGAGCGCGTCTTCGCCGAGCTGGTGGAGCGGGAGAGCGTGGCTTGAGACGGCCAAGCTCCGTCCTAGCAACCGTCTTGTGTACCGTGTATACTTGATGATACATGCACATTGTACGTTGCTTTTTTTTCTTGGAATCTATCCCAGTAAGGGGTAGCTTGTGATGTCGTATCTCACAATGAGATGTACGATTACTAATAGCTTACAAACATCATTAACATGTTTTTTATAGCGATTGAGTGATAGTATTACAGACTTATTACATCGCATTTTGTGCAAGGCTTGATCAACTGTACTGCATGCCATTTGCATTTTAAAACTAGAAAGATCATACCTAATAACATTTAATCATAGATTTTGCCCTGTACTTTACAGTGAGCAATAATAATATGCTTTATGCTTAGAACATTGCTATAAAATAGTAATAGATATATGTTTTTATAAGAAAGCAGGACAGGAATTTATTTTGTAGAGTCAAAAGACCAGTATGTAATGTATATGAGACTGTATATTAGCAAAAAGCTGATATACCAAGACTAGCTATAGTATATGACATTGTATGAATAGTCACTGACGAAAGGAGTGGATGCTACTTCACTAAAGTGTAAGTATGTAGAGAAAGAAAAACCATAGTATTCTGTATTTTTCTATTAAGCTGCTTCCATGCTAAATATTATGATCATGTTACAAGATTAGAATCTGAATAAAAGTTTTTTGTGTGTAAAGTTGACAGAAGCTTCTTGTATTACATATATTACAAAATACGTGTATTTTACAGCACTTAATTTTGTGAACTTCCGAACCGTTTCATTTGTACTGTATATATTGTCCTTGTTTGCATAAATCGACTGAGTATAATCTTGAGCAAACATCATCAAACAATCTACAAAAGGTACAAGAAAAGTAGTGCATACTAGGTCTTCTATTGTACTGAAATGTTGTATTAAACAGGCTAAATCAAGGCTTTGGCAAATCTACTCGGTACCTCCAAAGGTTATCGAAGGTGCTAGTTCTAAACCTTCTAGCTGAACTAGTGTCAGATATGGTCAAGATTTCAATCAAGCTCTATTATCAGGCTATTATTGATAGAACATTTAAGTTCAGAACCCCAATGTGAAATTTAGGAGGAGAATAAAATAACCAATTCAAGATTGCTGACAAAGAAAAGGCACAATCACAGAGGAACACACCCCAGAGCTGAAAATCTAATGATAAAATTTATTTACTACAAGTCTCTGTCTCTTAAAGGACTATAGTACATGTATATTCCAAGAGTAAAATCACAGTCACCATATTATCTACTGTCAAAGCTTTAGCGGTGGTCACCTCGAAATAAGGACCACCTGTCCTGGTCATTTTGGTCACTTTCTGTTGATGGCTTTTAGATTACTTTTCCCACTGACAAAAGCATTAAATACCTCTGAGTTTGACTGTACTCGTCTGTATACGTAACATTGGCATAACATCTTTATGGCCAAGTGGCTAGGCTAAGATCGAGAGGTCGCAGCTCAATTCCTTGCATTCGGTGCTAAACCTTGTATCCTTGGGAAAGGCATAACTTTCCTCACTCCACCCAGGTGTAAAATGGGTGCCTGACCTCAGTTTAGGAGATATTTAAAGCCCGGTGGAAGGATGGGATCTTTGGGCCAATTTACACGGGGTAAGAAAAATAATCGACAGATATTTTGAGCACGTAAACAAGTCTGCAACAGGCCTGTTCACACACTCAAAACTCTGTCCCATGACACGTGCCACATCACATCGTAGGACAAATGATGTTACCCACTCTGTTCAAGTGGGAGACTCCTCCAACATTAAGTCTGCAGAATACTCGATCAGAGTTAAAACGTCTTAGGGACTACGACCCTCACCTACTCTTCTGTCCACCAGCAAGAGTCACTACATACCGGAGCAGTCTACAGCACTATGGTCCTTACCTGTGGAACACTCTTCCGCTACAGCAACGACAGCTCCGTAGTCTCATGACTTTTAAACAGATCATTAGGAGCAGGACTTGATCCAGTTGATGTTTAGGATGTTGTATTTAGTAATTGTTTATGTACTGTGTATTTGTTGTATGTATTTTTATGTGTATCCAGGATTACCTGAAAGCATGGCCTGAGCTGTAATTACTGGTAAAACAAATAAACTGAACTGAACTGACTTTTTCCCAGTGTAAAAGGATCTTCTACCTCATTTATAATGGTGCAAGTTAGAGATTGCTCACCTTTGTGGTAGAACTTGTAGCGTATGTAACAGCGAGCAGACTTGTCCAGCGTGTCCTGACCAGGCAGGAGGGCACAGTGTAGGGGGAACCAGACATCCGACACAGACACACACAACTCACATGTCTTCGTCATGGACGAGTCATCTGTGGCATGTCAAGAATCGCAGGTCATCCATGGCAGGGCTCGAAATACTGGGTGCATGTGCACCTTAGTGCACCCAAATGTGGAGCTGTGCACCCAATTTTTTTCTGTGGGTGCACCAGTGCACCCAAATATATTTGTAGGTTTACGTATGTAAAGATGTTAAATGTACAGTAGAAATCTGTAGAATACAGCAAATTCTCAACATCTAAGAATTGTTGTTAGTAGCACTTTTCTTTAGAAAAGTTTTTGCTGACATTCCTCTGTAATTCTATTTTTATATGGTGCACCCAAAAACTTTTTTGTGCACCCATTTTTTAGGTTGGGTGCACCAGTGCACCTACATGTATTACCCTGGCATGTCTTTCCTTTGCAACATATTTTTGTATGTAATTTTGAGACCATGGTTGTGCTATTATGAGAAGAAAAAGAAGGTTGTACTATGCCAGGTAGAATTTTAACCAGTATTTGGCCACACCAATTTTTTTGTTCTCAGATTCGCCCTCTTAATTTTGTTCTGATATCGGATATGAAAAAAAAAAAAAGTCGGGCTCTGAAACAACTCCAAAATGCTCATACATGTATGTTGGCCCCAATAGATGAAAGAAAAAAAAACATTTCAGGCTCTGAATCGACTCCAAAATGCTCATATTTTGGTTCTCGGATTGATAACAGGTAACTCAACAGTTAAAGGAAAAGTTTGAAATTAAATGTTTGAATTATGAACCAATCATGTATATGCTGATTTCATCCTATCATAGCATTTGGAGCTATCATAGGATACCTAGGTCTGTTTTCATTTTTTTTATTTTCTTTATTTTCTTTTTATTTCTTTACTTTTTTTCGCCCAGTCGATTCATGTTTTATCTGAAAAAGTCCGAGAACCAACAAATCAAATTGGAATTGCCTTATTATAATAAGTTATCATCAGGATTCAGATGATTTTGGACCAATGTACCATCCATCCACAGGTCCTCCCCATCATCCTCTGGGCACCAACCCATGGTCCTCCCAGCATGCACCACTCTCTCCCTGTCATCAGCATGGGCAAACTTGATGGACAGCTCGGCTCCGCCCACCACGCGCTGTAAGCCGTCTGATTGGTCGGATGGGTCTTCGAGACTGCCGTGCTTGTTATCCTCACCTCTTTCCCAGCCAAGGGGAGGACGGGTGATGGGATACCACCCATGTAATCCTGAGGTAGAAAAAGAAGTAGAAAAGAAACAAGAAAAGTAACATTTGCAAAGCAAGTGCCTGCTGTTTACCTTCACATGTCCTATCCCAAGAAACTTCTGCGCTGTTTATTCTTACTCAAAAACACATGACCAGCCCCTCCAACTTTGTGTTGCTCCAAAATGTAACCCAACAACACAGGGTGCCTGCTATAGTATTAGTTGCCATGGTGACAGACGTCTGGTCCAGGCCACTGACTTAATTTGTTTGGAGAAGAAGAAGAAACTGAGCAAAAAATGTTTCCCTTCTGCAAAGGTAAATATAACAATCAAGTGCAAGTGATGTCACTTCTCACAAAAAGACTTCTAAAGCAATTTCAGGGCAGCAAAACTAGATTTTCAAAGTCCATTTTCTGGTCATTCTTTTAAGGTGGTAAGTTGAATCAATCTTATTCCATAGCAAACTGATATCTGTGAGGCGAAAATGTGATGTCTCTAACAGAAAATGTTTAAGTTATTTTATATCATAGGGCACTTCTTAACTTATCGTTATTATGATTTGCAGTTCTGCACCCACTTGTTGATTTACTACTGTTTATGGTTTGCAGTGTTGCAACCTCTTTTTGTAACGTTTTTTTGTTACATTAATCATCCATGACCTCTGACCTCTCCCCGTTCACTAAAGTTTAGTTTTCAGTTAATGTTGTGTGCGTTATGTTATTTTTTTTTATTAAGACACACCTTTTGTTATGTTGGTTTTACTTTCATGTACATTTGTTTTGTTCTGTTCTGTACATTTGTTTCATTGTAATTTTGCGACTCCAGGAAGAATAGATTTCATGTAAATCTAATGGAGATCGAATAAACAAACAAACAAACAAAAACAAACAAAACTTCTAGCTACATTGTATTTATGATCATGAGCAGTACTCCAAAATAAAGAGATGCCTCACATAGTCACACTCAAACACTTTGAGTATGAAATGGTGATGAAATTGTGCTAAGAAATGGCAGTTAATGTCAATGTCAGTTATGTACAGAAGGCTCTTGTTATTCTGTTCATCTGCTATCCTATATACTAGTATCTGCTTATAATTTTGATAATCATTGGGCCACACCAATTTAATTTGTTGGTTCTCTGATTCTCCTCTTCATTTTTTTTTTTGATTTGCAAAAAAAAAAAGATTCTGGTTCTGAATCAACTAAAAATGCTCATATTTTGCCCCCAACAGTTGAGGAAAGTCCTTTAAATTTCTTCCTAGTTTTTTTCACAGTTTTTCCATCTATCAATGCACTTGTTTGATTAAAAGTTTAAAATTCATCCTTTAAATACTAACCCACCCTTTTGTGTTGACTTCATGGCTCCTGCTGTATCATTTAGGGCTATATTATTTATATTAATAGGATGTCTAGACCTGTTTTTATCTATCTTTTTTGCCCTGTCGCTTCATATTTTTCTTAAAAAAATGAAAATTAACAAACAAATTAAATTGGTGTGGCCTTATTGTACAAAAAAACACAAGAAACATTACAGACAACAGCAGGCCCTTTTTATCCCATACCTGTCCTGTTGGTCAGTAGGGCTGCCAGTGGCAGGGTTGTGGTCCCCAGTAGAACGTCCCCTGTACTGTGGAACAGCCGTCTGCCAACCACATGTGACTCCTTAGGTCCAACATCGACATACTGGCCCTCCAAGTCTAGCAACAACCAAAACAGGCAAGGGTGACTAAATGCATTTGACAAGAAAAGTTGAATACACAAAAATTATAGTAATTTTTACAGTACACTACAGTACATGTACCTGTAACTACACGGCTCGAAATATGTATGTGCACCTTAGTGCACCCAAATTTGGAGCTGTGCACCCAATTTTTTTTGTGGGTGCACCAGTGCACCCAAATATTTTCATAGGTTCATGTATGTAAAATGTATACATTAGTAGTATGTAGCATATTCTTATTAATAATAACATCTAACTAAGAAAAATTATAAAATCATTTAGTACTACACACTTAGTACTTTTCTTTAGAAATGAATAATTAGTTTTGCTGACATTCTTCTTATTTTATTTTATATGGTGCACCCAAAAATTTTTTTGTGCACCTGCACCTATTCCCAAAAATGAATTTCGAGCCCTGGTAACTGTAACTACTTTTTACTCCTTGTACTGAGAAATCTATATATTTGTACATATCTACCAACCCTTACACGAAATGTGTTCTAGATGTTCTACAACCCCACCCTCAACAGGGAGGGGGGCTATGGGTATGTTCTCTGGCACTCCAAGCCGTAAGAACAGCTCTGTTCTGAAACAACAGGAGCTACATTGTAGCTACACTGCGCACTGATTGGTTAATCATGAATGACATCATATCCTCTACCATATACATGTAAAGTACAAGACCAAACATAGTATCTAGAGTTTGGTGAAGTGGTTTACAACCCTCTTATTGTGTGTGTTTTACCTACGGAGTGTTTTTTTTTGGTGTGGTCTAGTTTCGGTGTCTGCCACACCCTGACATGGGCGTTTTGCATTGGGTTTCGTGGGGAGGGCGGCTTCAAGGCGTGACTCCAGCACTGCCCCATAACTTATAATATGACAAATGTAGGATGATCCAATAGGTGCGCAGTCTAGAAAGAAGACTATTTTGACCCATTTCCATTAACCTTTGTCACACTTTGTCTAGATTTTGTTTCCCATGGGACTATAAAAAATTGTCACTCCAACTGTATTAATAATAATGCCCGTAGCCAGGATTTTGAATGGGGGGGGGGGTTCTTCCCACTGCTTGAGGGACCAGTGAGTGTTGAAGGCGCGAGGTTCCTTGGGGGGTCCGGGGGGTATGATCCCCTGGGAAATTTTGAAAAATGAATCTTCTGAAATGGCATTTCCTGCGTTTTTGAGAGGATTTCAAAGAAAAAATTAGAGATAACTTTTTATTCAATGACAAAGTACTAGGCAGTTTTATACGATTTCTGCCCCGCTGGTGATACGAATCAGTCCATCTAAAGAAAAATCTTGGACCTTTAGATGAAAAGTGGACCAAAAAGTGGACCAAAAAGTGGACCTTTGAGCCTTGTGAACCCCCCAAACCCCTCCTGGCTACGGGCATGATAATAGTTTGATCTGTTCTGTTTATCCTGAGATCTCACCAGTGTTACTGACAAAAGGTAGTGGATGCTACATGTACCTGAAACGTCTGACCGTTCCCAGAATCATATCCAGTTCCTTGAGTACCTGTTTTTTTGGCATATCTTATCACCTGGATGTCTAACCTTCATTGACGTGACTGTTTTCTAGGTACATTTGTAATGTCAGAAAGGCACATTTGATTTTTTTTAATTCCATCTGCTACTTGAATGTGTGTTGACAGCATGACTCAAAAAGTTGTAAATGTACACATGTACAATGTATGTGTGAAAATTGGTTTGTGGGTAGTTGTTGGCATCCTTCCATCTGGGTAAAAGTTGGCAAAAATACGGGCACATTCGAAAATGGGCCCCCTAGCAGTTTTCTTTGGTAATGCAGCTGAATGTCCAATTGGTTTGTTTATTTGTTGGTTTGTTTATTTCACCAGATGAAACATAGGTGTCCTTCCGTCTGGGCAAAAAAGAAGGGCACATTTGAATATGGGCCCCCTGCTGTTTTTTTTTTGGTAATGCAGTTGGACATCCAATCTATGTTTGTTTGTTTGTTTATTTATTTCACCAGATGAAACATATCGTCTACTGGCATTTTTAAATATGCCCTGTACATGTACATCTTGCAGTCAAGATTTTGGGATATACATGTACTGTAGATTTAGGCCCCCTAGTTTCATTCGGCTTACCTGATCTGCCCCCTGGCATCTGGTGCCAGAACTGCAGCATGACCTCTCCTGTCTCCAGCAGCTCGGCCAGACACGCCCCGTCCCTCAGCCCCTGGGGGTCCGTCCACACCAGGGGGCAGGGGAAGTCCAGGTGATACTGGAACTCTGGGGCAAACGTGCGCGCTACTGTTCTCGTCACACGCTGGTCCTTAGTTCAGGAGAGAAAAGTACTATATTTATGTTTACCGAAGGAAAACATATTGTTTTTACTCAGTTTCTTCCTCCTCCTCTTCTGTTTCAAACACTAACCTCTGACCTGGCCAATGACATGATTTGTTGACGTCTGTCACCATGGTGACTGGTGTTGGGTTACATAATGTTGCAATTTCATAGCCTGCTCTACGCCTGTCACCATATACTTGTAGTACATGTACATGTATGTGAATGTGTTTGAGTAAAAATTAACAGGGCAGACCATGTCCGAAGGTAAAGATTAATGCATTTGCTTTGCAAATGTTACTTCTCTAGTTATAATTATTATTGTCTAGTACATTCATGCATCTCTACTATCCTTTACCCTTTTTTACATTTCAAAGGTACCTTTACTCCAAAAGTTGTTGAGTGTTCACAAAAGCAACCAAAATATTCATTTATATAATTTAAGATTTTAATCTAATAACAGAAAACATACCACAGTACACAAATTTAAAGCAACATATCTGGTTCTTTGTTCATAAGTAGAATTCATAGAATCTGCTAAGACACAAGAAACTGACAAATGTTACTGCAGCTAAAGTAGTAAAATGTTGGACTTTATTTTGAAGTTCAATGTTTTACTATGATTACTACCAACACAGATGAACTTTCATGATGTTACTGCTAAACTACCGACTTAGTTGCACATCGTTACTTCTGCAAGCAGCTACCCACCTCTTGTGACAGGAAGGACACTGTGACTTTACAGTACACGTTCACCCCTACTTCAGCTGGGTACTCCATGTCAGCGTACTGTTGGCTCAGAGACAGCGCAGCTGCCTTCAACCCTGCTGCTCTCAACAACCCAACACTCAGGCAAACCTAAACCAAAAAACAAACAGCAAAAAGCGAACATTTCTTTACCGCGCCATTAATCTATGGAGCACCCTGCCACCCAGTATCAAAACACTGACCAGTCCACATCAATTCAAAAAGGCCATCCACCAGTTGTACATAAGCTAAGTTATATATATTAAGTTAAGTCATGATCATTTTGTTTAACCTGTATATAATTTGTGATGATTATCTATGTTCATTCTCTTTTAATTTTGCTATCAGTATGTTTATATGTTTATATGTTTTGAACCCTGGAAGATTAGCCATGGACTAAAGGGTATCAAAATAAAAATATAAACGAACCTGTGGGCTGGACAGCAGACCGTCGTGCTGTCCTACTGTGCTGTCCACATGGACAGCTGCCGTTCTGTAGTTCAAGCTGACGTCCAGGAGGCCGCTGTCCTGTAGCTTGGCCAGCTGTTCTGCTGTGTGAGGCTGGTCGTCGCTGGGTACAGCCGTGAGAGGGAGGGCGTATGTCTGGACGCTGGTCTCCCCTCGCTTGTGCATGGTGACCATACCACATAGCTTAGCCAGGGGGAGGGTGGCCTGGTTATAAGGTCAGGGCAATATAGTCAGAAAAAATATTTTATGGCATCCATATCTGGCATACCATAAAACTTCAAGATATAATATTGTTAAACACTATATTAAAGGTACATGTTTAAGAGGCAACTTGAGTTTTTTTTAAATTTCTTTCCCTTTAAAATTAGTTACATGTACCTTTACAATAGATTAAATTCTTCTTGGTCTTTCGCCAGTACATGCAACTCCCAAAAAGTTTACATGGACCAGTGCAGGTTAAATGCCAGGTAGACATCAGAAATACCTGCATTATATATATGTCAGGTGGTATTTCGATCCCTGTAAGGCAAAACCTACCTTTGCAATAATCTGGTCCCTGATGTTTGGATAGTAGTATCTGCACCACACTTCAAAAGGAATCCCTCCAGCACCCCCTCCCACCCCCGCACAGGCAGTGAGCAGTTCCCGCTGGACGGGGGTGCCCTGGGGCAGCTGCAGGCGGTGCCTGCTGGTGTGGTGGAGCGTCGGGTCAGGCACGCACAGGGTGGTCACCGTTCTGTGGGGCTTCAGGCTGATCATGGCTGCAGCAAATGTCAAGAAACAGACAAGATGATTTGATTTAGGTTTCGAAAGACTTTTTTTCTCAGTTGACCTGCCTAAAGCAACAAGTAGGTTGCCCATGAATGTTATTACAGGCTACCATCAAAACCAGCTGTTCACTGTATTTTAGGAGGCTAGCCACCTGTAAAGGGGTCTTTTACATGCTGGCAAAGTCGGGACACAGTGTATTTCAGAAACCATAAACTGGGACACTGTAAGCTTTAAAAAGGTCACTTTGTATGGAAAAAAGATAACTTGTGCTGTCATCTCCAAAAAGTCTCGCACAGAAAACATGACTTGCATGCATATGGGGAGAGTGTGAAAGGGGTATTGCAAATGAGCTGTATATACAAAAATTAATGTAGTTAGAGTAATACATTTGATTCAATGCCTATTCTATTCACAAGACTAATCTTAATGAAAATGTAAAGCTGGAAAATTGGCTCAGTGACACTTCAAAAATTCAGAAGCAGAAATGTTGCAGTTGCAAAATATGTTGATTTATGTTAAGATATTACCTGGTAAGACTTGTATGCCAAATACTTTACTGCAGTACCATCTTCTGCCACAAGGTGGCACCTACCATGTCTAACAGCAGGCCCTCCACCCTGGACGGTTTGTTGCTGGGCTGGGAAGTGATACTGCACGAAGCAGTCGGCCTCTCCCCACACGGCTGTCTCAAACTGGGACAGACCGCGTACCCCCTCCACCACCACCTCAAACACGTGCTCCGTCTGGTCAGGTGGTACTACTGGTTCTGAGGAACCAGAGATGGGACCGTGTTCTGACCTGAAGTTAAGAAAATGTACGGTTTTATTAGTGGCAAATGTACAGATCTTGGCACATTGGTGACACCAAATTTGTCTGTGTCCTCAACAGTGTTTGGACACATGTATCAACGATTAGCTGAAAGGTCCAGTGGGCATCACTCCACCATACAGTACAGGGAGGGAAGTTGTGTAAAGTGCCTTTCCCAATTAAGGGCGCAACGGACCTCTTGGTCCTGAGCCGAACGCTCTCATTATGCCACACAATGCCACACAGCTGCCTATACACAATATATGTGTTGGAGACATACTTTAAGTTAAGCATGATGTTAAAAACCATATCACACTTCTCAACAAGAGATATACTACAGACTGTAAGCACAGTCCACAGCTTAACACCTATGATCATCAGAGTCTGACCTGTGGTGTAGATAGTGTTGAGGTCTGTCAGGTAAGATCACATCATCCCTGTCCAGTTTAACTCTCTGTAGTTCTGTCACCTGGAAGGTACAACATGGAGTATCACTATCAGAATTCAGAACTCTACATTTCGTAGGGAAAAGACTTGTTCCCAATGGCATCAAATGTAATTTCTGGGTCGCAAACAAAACAAAATATTTTGGATGAGGAAACCTGACTGATATTGACTGATATCTGCTGCCATTTCTTAAATTAGTGTAAATCATTCTTCATTCAGTGAACAAGAAATATACAAGAACTCCAGGTCATGCCAGCCAATAATGACCGAGCATGCAGGACAGCATTAACAATGACAACAACTATGACATACATGTACACAGATGACATTTAAATTGATCAAACTTGGTGACAAGAGGTTTAAAATCTGGGATTAACTATATATTAATTGGACATTATTTAAAAAAAAGCATCTGTATTACTGTAGTAATTATTTTCAATAAAAGAATAGCATTACAAAGAGTATATTGCATGATTTGTGTTGTTTGGCTTATTGCACTGTATAGGTCAGCGGCTATTGCCCGACATGAATTACTGTTATTGCATGGCGTGTACGAGGTAAAACTATAATCACAGAACATCTACATCCCAACACGGTTCACTTTCATCATCATTTCATACAGAGAAGACAGAGTCATGATGAAGTTACCTGTTGTACTGCTCCCATTGCCAGCAGGACCTTCAGTTCCCCATACTGTACCCCCGTGAAGGGGTCCACTATGGGCATGTAGCCGTCCACAGACACCACTGGATAGCGCGACTTCAGCAGGGCCTGGGTGATGCGCTTGTCTCGGAACGACATGTACAGGCTGTGGAGCGGCAGCTTCACCATTCCCACAAGGACGTCGTTTTGCGCCGCCGTCTTCTTGTCCCAGACCTGGAATAGAATATTGTTGTCATATCTTGGCCCTAACCTGCCTCAACCGAGTTCAAAACCGCTTACAAATAGTGCTGTGTATAAACCCACATTTAGGTTCAGGTCCGGATTCAAGTCAAGAGGTTTAGGTACTCGTAACTCCGGACCTAAACCCATGGCATACTGCAATTCCTGATTTTTTCACTGTACTGTTATGTTTACTGTTTTTACTGTCACTTTTTTACCATGAACTTATCGGTACAGTTACAATGTAACAAATAATTCCTGGACATTTTTTTTCCTGCAACTGTAGCCACCGTGAATATAATAGTTCCGTGAACATGTCCATTTTTCTCAGACCGTGAACTTTTGCTACAGTGAACATAAAGTGAATTACAGTATACAAAACTGCATGTTGGCAACCTTGCAATGTTGTTTGGGCAAAACTTTGGCCATATGACATGGAGGCCGACACTTGACGATGCCCTATGGCAATGTTTTCTTCATTTTACAGCACAGATTTTGCAATCTATGGAAGGTTTTAGGTGGTTAGGAAAGAAAAGGGGTACCGGTATGTGACATGGTTTTCTTGTAATAAGTCTGGAATTGGTTCTTGACTTTTAGTGCCTCTTCAGTTTTTTTCTGTTTTGCAAAAAAAAAAAATGATTCTGGTTCTGAATCAACTAAAAATGCTCATATTTGGTGCCCAACGGTTGAGGAAAGAACTTTTCTTCCTAGTTGCAGTTTTTCCATCTATGAATGCAGTGGTTTGATTGAAAGTTCAAAATTCTTTGCTTGAATACTAGTATTGTGTTGACTTCATGGCTCCTATCGTGGCATTTGGGGATATAATAGGATGTCAAGACCTGTTTTTATTAATTTTTTTTGGTCTGTCGCTTCATATTTTTTCTGAAAAAATCAGAGAAACAACAGTTACTAATTATATTGGTGTGGCCTAAGTAAAAAAAAATAATAACCTCGATGATCATGAAGTTGTTTCTCATGCGCTCCAGCAGAGCGGGGGTGAGCAAAACGGGTCCAGATTGGTAGAAGTCAAAGCGGGGGTCGTTGGTTCCCCAGCAGACGTTAGAGCGGATGGTTTCATCACACCAGAACATCCGACACACCAGGTACGGGTTACGTACGGACAGGTCACGGCCAGCGGGGAATCCTGGAACAAAGTTTGGAAGGCGTTAGGCCACATCAATTTAATGTCTTGGTTAACGGATTTGCCTGCTTCATTTTTTTTCTGATTTGCAAATTAGGAAAAAAAATGTTGCGTTTCCTCTTTCAGTCAATAGGTAGGGATTTTTTCAATTATTTTTTAAAAGACTTTGTTGATCTCTAGAGTTCCAACTGTGACAGTTTAAGTTAACAAAATAAAACTTGCAATTTTCAATGTCAGTGTTGGAAAACTGATTGTGCAACATTTCATCACTCAGGTGTCAGATCGTGGAGGTAGAAACCAATTCTCAATAAACCATTTCATCATCATCATCACGAAAAGGTAGATCAGCTCAAAATATGTATGTCCCTTACAGGGGTCCACACACACAAAAAAAAAGGCTAGGGCCGACAGTTTTTTTCTAGGGTCGGTCAGGAAACACAACATTTTTTCCTAGGCCATATCTTAGTTTCGCATAAGAAAATTTGATGTCCCTAAACCAAAAAAGGGAACAACATCAATTCCAAAGTCCACATCTGGTACTAGTATTCCAATTTTCGAAAGTGGTGAACTAGGCACAGGTGAAACGTGTTTAAATTATTCTAAGGAACTTTTGGAAGCCCATGTGACAACCAAACCGGCTGTAACCGCTAGTTATTGCACAGGCCAGAACACCCATATCGAACATTATTGGGGCCCAGGTATGATATAAAAGTCAGTATGCAAGATACAGACTGTGTACCTGATATAACTGGCCCCACTTTGGGCACTGGTTGAGGAGGTGGGTACGGATCTCTGTTGCCCCTGCTAGCGAAGGAGGGAATCCCCTTCTGCGTGATGTTACGGCCTTCTGTGACGAGTAGCAGCATGTGCAAAGCCTGGGCCTCCTAGTGAAGACAAATATGTGCAAGGTGCATTTATTAAGCTACAAGCTTCCCTTGTACATATTAAAAATGAATCACTGTAATGTGTCTCTGCCTCTGTCAACTAGTATAACATCCCTTTCAACTAGTATAACATTTTGTAAGTATACAGTGGCAGTAGTATTGATGACATCAAATGAATGTCACTGAACCCCCATGTGCAACTAGAATGAAAGAGGGTCCTTTCATAGCCGATGATGTATGTATATTGCATGGGGCTTGAAATACATTGTACTTTTTCTGCAGGTGACATTGAATGTACCTGTACCTCCAAGAATTTCAAAAAGTATGGAAATCATACCAAAAAGAAAAACTGTCCAGAAACCATTGTCATTTCTCTTGTAAACTTCATAGACCAATGAAAATCCCACATACAATGTACACTTACATGTATCAGAAACATCAGAAATACCTGCACAGCTCCAATTTTAGCTACCCTAACCTGCATATACCCAGTACATGGACCAGTGCAGGTTAGGTGCAGGTAAACATCAGAAATACCTGCACAGCTCCAATTTTACCTGCACTAACCTGCATATACCCAGTACATGGACCAGTGCAGGTTATGTGAAGGTAGACATCAGAAATACCTGCACAGCTCCAATTTTACCTGCACTAACCTGCATATACCCAGTACATGGACCATTGCAGGTTATGTGAAGGTAGACATCAGAAATACCTGCACAGCTCCAATTTTACCTGCACTAACCTACATATACCCAGTACATGGACCAGTGCAGGTTAGGTGCAGGTAGAAATCAGAAATACCTGCATACATGTAGTTCCAATTTTACCTACCCTAACCTGCATTATGCAGGTAGTATTTTGAGTTAAGTACTTCTATGTACTGACGTCCCCTCTCTACCTGTCTTCAGCAGCAAATACTGTATGTGACAAAGAGTGCCATACCTCATAATTCCCAGTCACCCCAGTTTGACCATGTCCAGAGGTTGAAGGAGGAAGGGGAGGCTTTACAGATGAAGAAGACTCAGAAGGCGTTGTCTGACCAACAGTTGCTCGGACAGGTGGCTGGTCAGCTGTATGCACAGCTGCTTTCTCACCTGTTCACGAACAAAGGAAATATCTCACAGGTTAAATAAAAACATATATAATATAAATAAATAAATAAGTAAGCTATCCTGTCCTATGATAATTTTCTTTTTTAATGCCCACGATCATGATGATTATTCTCAGACTGGTACACTCATTAACACCTGAGTGAAGTGAGGAAAGTCGTAATGCCTTAGAGTCCCAAGGGCACAAGATTGGTGACATGGCAGGATTCGAAGCCGGGACCTCTTGGTTCTAAGCCGAATACTCTGCCGTTATGCCACACTATAATATTTAACTTCAACAAACTACTGCTCTGTTTATTCATACTCAAACACATTCATATATATGGTGATTAGCCCCTCCAACTCTGTCCTGCAACTTGCTACATAATGTAATCCAACACAATAGAACGTCTGCTACATTACGAGCTACATGTAGCAGACGTCTGGTCCAGGTCATTGACCTTTTTTTTTGTTTGGAGAAGAAGAAGAAGAAACAGAGAAAACAATGTTTTCCTTATGTGAAGGTAAACATAATAATTATTATACATGACATGAATAATCTGTAATGAACCTATTTGTGTGATTTTCTTTAGGTTACAAAGAAGAGTGACACACCTTTCTCTACTATGTCTTGAACAGCTCTTTGCACAGCTGTCACTGGTTTGTGTTTTGGCTGAGGAATGGGTACGACCTTTGACCCCTTCAGCTCGGCTAACTTGGTCTTGGCCAAAGCTGAGGGAAAGTCTTTACTGTCAGAGGCCAACTCAACAGACACCTGAAAAGGTAAAAGATAATATATTATAATTAATTATACTAGAAAGGTAACATAAGCAAATGCTTAGGAGTACATTACCTTCACATGGTCTTTCCTAACAAACTACTGCTCTGTTCATTCTTACTCAAACACATTCATATACTTGTATATGGTGACCAGCCCCTCCAGCTCTGGCCTGCTACATAATGTAACTCAACACCACAGGGTATCTGGTACAGTACCCATTACCATGGTGACAGACCTCTGATCCAGGTCATTGACCTTTATATTTGATGGAGAAACAGAAGAAACAGAGCAAAGACAATGTTTCCTTCTGTGAAAGGAGACATAACAAGGAATGCAATAAAAATCATCACCATGGCGACGATTCAATGAATATTATTAAAACTGAATAATGTTTAGAAAAATATCTAGAATTCGGGCAGCGCTCCGCTATTAGTAAAATTAGAATCAGTGCCCCTTAGAAATCGAAAAAGGGCGATAAATGAAACTACCTGTGTTGCAGAGGATATGTAAATATTGCTCCTCAAATGCAGTGAAAGATGAAATTTATTTCAAAACAAAAGACGAATTTCAATTTAGGCTACGAGTAGGAGGTGGGGAAGAGTTGAGTAGGGCTACGAGTGGATGGCTTTACCACATTTCACGACATGGCAGGGAAAGCAGGAGAAACACAAGGGAAAACAATTCTTTACATTGATATAACTATAGTATGAAGTGACAACAGTTAGATAGCTATCCCCTACATGTACATTATTGGTTAGGATTTTTAATTGCATAATGCAAACTGTTGATTTTCAAGATAAAAAGAATGCTGGAGCAGAAAAGCTTGACATACATTGTACATGTACCTAGTACCAAAACACTTGAATGCCGCTGAGTTCAGACTGTCAATATGGCATGACTTTGTCTTTTCTTTTCTTTCTTTCTAACGTCAAAGGAGTAATGACTCCGGCAACCACCTAGGTCCTACTCCCTCAAGCATGTCCAATAATGTCTTCAGACCGTTCATTGTTATGACTCCCATCTTAAGCTGTGTCATACATGTAAGTCTTCTGCTATCCCCACGAAGGTACACTCGTCCTCCCTCTCCTCTCTTGATTCCCTTCTCTTCAAGTCTCGTCATTGACCAAGTAGTTGGACCGTTGTGCCTTGACAGACAGTTCTTCTGGATTATATCCACAACATCGAGTTAACCCAATGAAGTCCCAACAGCCAATCAGCAAGACTAATAGTGGAAAGCTGCATGCCTTTTGGTTGCTTGCTCTGCATGCCATTCTGATAACTCATGCCCAAATATGGTAACACACTGCTATAGTACATTTTCTATAACACAGCCAAAGAGCTTAAATCAAACCATTCTAAAAGCCTGTATCACAAAAATGGAAAAAAAGCCTGGGGCATTTGCCCACTCTACCTTCATGCCAAATTTCATGTTATTATTGTTTTGGCCCAAAAATGAAGGAGTTGAATCAATCAAATGGCAGGAGAAGGAGGAGGAGAAACCATAAAAATGTATTTATGTATTTGTCTTTTGGTCAATTTTTGTGTCCCTATTTAAGATTTGTCATAAAATATGTGGCTTGTAAACTAGGCTAAGAATGCTTCTGTTCTTTCACGATGCCGTCGTTGCGAGGCAACAGCCCTAAACATACAAAAAATATTCAATCAAAACCTGTAACAAGCTGCGTGTCCGGGTGGAATTAGACCGCTGTTGCGCCACTACGGAGAAAACTGCTACTTTCTCTGCTGTCCAGGTCACCCTACATCTGTATATGAACTAACGGTAACATTTCTGGAAAATCCTCTGATAAGGGAAATATGGTGATATTTTAGCCTGTTGTATCTTATTGTTATCGATATCGTTGATGTGTTAACATTCTATCATGACGATAAAAGCTGATGGCTAAAATCTCTTTGTTGCTGCTTATGCAGCTACTAGTGCCATGTGTGGATGCAGGTAGCTGGCAGAGCTGCCGTGAAGTGTCCGTAGCGAAGTGTGGTGTAGGTGACAGCCGTAGTGATGGCCGTGAGTACCGGTATGACATTGGAGCGTACCGGTACAAGTGGACCAAATACCCGTATGAAGTAACCAGCTACAAAGGGCCCTTTGTCTCTGTCCCTTTGTTTCAGGCTTATCAATCCTGTCAGATCTGCTCAAAAGAAACAAGGCCTGACCAGGGGGGTCCCACTCAGAACCCTTCACCATACACGATAACCAATATCATGATCGTTGGGAACAACGTCGGCAAGCTTGGCACTGACAAGG